ATCTTCGACAGATTTTGCGGACATTACGTGTGAAAAAATTCTATACAAACCTTAAGAAGTGCTCCTTTATGCAAACTCAAGTGCTTTTCCTTGAATTTGTTATTTTTGCGCATGGTATTTCAGCTGACCCAGAGAAAATTCGTGCTATTAGGGATTGGCCAGTGCCAAGAACAATTTTTGAGGTTCGAAGTTTTCATGGTTTGGCCACCTTCTATAGACGAATCGGATTATATTTCGTTATAGTAGGCGTAAGCGTAAGGATTAGGAGTTATTTGTCATTATGCTTTTCAGGGGTTTAGTTCCATTATGGCTCCCATCACAGAATGCATGAAAAAAAAAGGAGTTTCAATAGACACTTGCTGCAACTAGAGCCGTTCAAGAAATTAAGTACTGGATAACAGAGTCACCTGTTCTTCGACATCCAGATTTTTCTAAGGTGCTTGAGGTTGCCTGTGATGCATCTGGTGTAGGGATAGGTGGAGTTTTGAGTCAAGAGGATCATCCTATTGCTTACTTCAGCGAAAAACTCAATGAAGCTAAACAACGATACTCTACATATGACAAAGAGTTCTACGCAGTGGTACAGGCTCTTCGCCATTGGAGGTATTATCTATTGCAATCTGAGTTTGTGTTATATTCTGATCATTAGGCATTAAAATACCTTCATTCTCAGAGAAAATTGAGTGTTAGGCACATTAGGTGGGTTGAATTCCTTCAGGAGTATACTTTTGTTCTTCAACACCGAGCGGGCATTGAAAACAAGCCTGCGGATGCTCTTAGCCGTGTAGTTACTATTTTACAGACGATGAGTGTCCATGTGATTGGCTTTGACAAGATTAGAGATAAGTATGCCTCTTGTCCTGACTTTGGTATCATTTTTCAGGAGGTTCAGTCTGGTAAATATCATGAGTACATTGACTTTGTCCTTAGAGATGGTTACTCGTTTAGAGGGTCGCGCTTATGTATTCCTCGTACTTCACTTAGGAATTTCCTGATTTGGAAATTACATGCGAGAGATTTGGCAGGCCACTTTGGTAGGGATAAAACATTTGCACTTGTTGAGGATAGGTTTTATTGGCCCATTTTGAGACGTGACATTATTAGGATAGTGTCACACTTGTTAGTTAGCAAAGGCTAGGAAACAAAACACAGGGTTGTACACACCATTACCAGTTCCACACACACCATGCAGAGACCTTAGTATGGACTTTGTCTTAGGATTGCCTAAAACAACCCGTAATCATGATTCCATTCTAGTTGTCGTGGATAGGTTTTTTAAGATGGCCCATTTCATTCCTTGCACTAAGTCTACTGATGCCTCACATGTAGCAAAGTTATTTTTTAGAGAGGTCGTCCGACTACATGGATTGCCTATTTCCATTGTGTCTGATAGGGATGTTAAGTTTGTGAGTTATTTTTGGAAGACACTTTGGAAACTCTTTGGAACTAGTCTTAAGTTTTCCTCTGCCTTTCATCCCCAAACTGATGGTCAAACTGAGGTAGTCAATTATAGCTTAGGAGATTTGCTTAGGTGTCTAGTGGGTGAGAAGATGGAAAATTAGAATTTGTTGTTGCCTACTGCTGAATTTGCCTATAATAACTCCGTCAACAAGTCGACTGGTTTATCCGCTTTTGAGATTGCTTATGGTCATTCCCCTAGACAGCCCATTGATTTATTACCTTTACCTCCTGATTCCCGCCCCTCACACTCAGCCGAAGCTTTTGCCCAACATATTCATGATTTGCATGCCGACATAAGACAGAAAATTACATTAAGTAATGAGAATTATAAATTGGTTACAGATGTTCATCGTAGGAATAAAGAATTTATTGTGGGAGACTATGTCATGGTTTGTGTGCGTCCTGAACGTTACCCTAAAAATTCTTTCAAAAAGCTACATGCTCGAGCCACTGACCCTTTTCGTATTCTTCGTAGGCTTGGACCTAATGCATATCACCTTGATTTACCTTCGAATATGAGTATTAGTCCTATTTTCAATGTGGAGGACTTGTTTCCTTATCATGGTACTTTTGAGCCTCCAATGTTTCCAGCAGGTGTTCCTACAGGTGGACTTGCTTCGTCATCAACATCAACTACAGTTCCTATTCTTCCACCGTTTCCACCACAACTGCATGACCAGATCGCAGATGTACTTGATGATCAGATTGTGGGCTCCTCAGATAGAGGATATCGTCGTTATCTTATTCGGTGGAGAGATCGTTCAAAGACTGATGATTCATGGATTACTGAGGAGGAGTTTCGTCGGCTTGACCCTGATCTTCTAGGGCATTATCATGATCATATCTCTCTGAAGACGAGTTCTTTTCAGCCAGGGGAAATGATAGGAATCGGATTATATTTCGTTATAGTAGGCGTAGGCGTAAAGATTAGGAGTTATTTGTCATTATACTTTTCAGGAGTTTAGTTGTCATTATGATTATTTATTTCTTTTAGAGTTCTTTTAGGATTTGTGGTCTCCCTATATATATATATATATATATAGGAGATATGTTATTTGTTTTGGTAGACTTTGATTGATTATTGATATTGAATTTTCTTTCTAAAATTTTCTCTATTATCATTTCCTTCTTTTTCTTTTCTCATCCCTTTCTTCTTTCCTTCTCATCCCTAATTCTTCCCTAATACGATCTACATCAATCAGTCGGCTGATTTTCCAGGCTCTACTTAGTACTTATTCTATATTCACTTATCTGTGTCACGAAGCGTTTATGTAATTATGTTTTTAATGACTATATACAAATATGTGCATATACAATTAGCCCACTCATGGATTTCTGCTTAATGCCCAAAACCTAACATGTTATCAGATTAGTCGAAAACCATAAATCTATCTTCTCCCATTCAAATGAATGCTATTTGTTTTTTTTAGTCAAAACACCAACCACCTAACAATTTGTTCACAGTTGGCACGCACTAAGCTGCATGTTAATGCCACCCATAATCACCACAAATGCAAAGCCCAAACTTTGCAGAAACAACAACCATATTGGTCTATCTAACAACTTTCATAGGACAACCCATGCCAAAAACAGAGAAGAAAAAAGTCCTAAAGCTTGATACGTTCCGGATTGTTTGTCCATCAGCATAACAACCCCAGTAAAGAGGAGTGCACGTAAGTTTAACACATTAAAAAATAAAAGGAATGTAGACTGAAAAGGTGGTGATAAAGACATCACAATTTTTGTTTTTACGAAGATTACAAAATATATGTGTCTTGAATAGCAAAAAAGGATCTCGTGGCTCATCCATGGACTTGTTAAAGGTTTGTTGCATTGAGAAAACTATCATTGACATGTTCACAAGTTTGGGATCACAATTTTCCATTACGAAAGATAAAGTAGACATGGTTCAAAGTTGCAAGATCGGTCATCAACTTGGAGAGCTCTAAGACACATCGATCGCAGCGTTATGTTGTAGTATCGCAACGTTATGTTGTAGTATCACGTGATACGACCTAAAAGAAATGTTGAATATAATGACAGATTGAAGTCATACCACAGTGTTGTGAAACCGTATCAGCCGATTTGGTGACGATAACTGGACGACTTAACCGAGTCATGCAAGACTTAGGGTTTATACATATCGTGTAATGATATTTCTATGTCATCTCATAAGATATTGAGTCTTCGTGTTTATTTTTATAAGCATCTATATATTGCTTCCATAAATTATACAATTTGATTCAATTCAACAATTTACGGAATTATGAAATTGAATATATCCACAACAATAACCAAAGGGTATGGAGTTGGCATTTACTACACATCACAATAATCAACTAAAGACTTAAATACATGCATCATGCATGTGAATCTAGCAAATGTGACATGTGGTGAGCGGAAGGTGGCATGTGAAATGTGCATTTACAATGCAGCATTGCAAGAAATGCATGAAACAAAACATATAACAAAATAAGAGTAAAATATAGTGACTTGAACTGTCTATTAAGTGCTGGGACCAACTTTTGGGCAAAAGTTTTCTTGGGTACGTAGAATCAATGAATATACTCGCACTAGCCGGATTCACTATCTCAAACAGAGCACTTGTTGTGTATAGTATAGAGATAAATGATGAGCATATTTATAGCAAAAGTACTCAGATAGACTGGGTTGCCCAGTAGGCTATCCGCGACTATATCATACAAAAGTCAACGTCGTGCGTGACAATTGTGCCTACTTGTAACTATGTTTCCTCGGATACAACCTAGACCCAGTCTTTGAGAAAATGGGCACATTCCCTAGGTAAGGAGACATTTAAGGTAGAGGATCGCAACAAGGTCACTATGGGGACTGTGACCACAAGAGGGTCATGGCCGTGGTGCACCCTGTGTGCGTGTACTGTGGGGTCTCCCTTCCTTTCGCAACCCCTCTCTGACGCATTTGCTTTAGCTGCTCATTCAAGAACCTCACATAATTTTAGTCCTTTAATCATCACTCTACATGTCCCATCATCTCGTATATTGATATAAACCATTAACCGCTTTTATCTTAGGAGTCTTTCCAGATCCTAGTAAAACACAACTTACTGAAAGTACCCCTTGAGAATTTGCTATCCATGGGATTCTAGCTTTATGTATTTACTTTAGTGGTGGGGAAGGTGGACTAACATGCCTGGGTTGCCCCTAAACCCTCGCAATGTCAGTCTTGCCCTGTTGGACAAGGATCCATTTACTGTTTCAGCGGTGAAAAGGATTTGCCTCCTCTCCCCTCCACGGTGTTGACCACTTTCTGTGGTTATTGGTCACTTACGGTGACCATTGCCACGCGAGGGTGGGCCTGTCCCACCACATCAGTATGCGCCTCCTCGCCCCTCTGTGGTGTTGACCACTTACTGTGGTTATTGGTCACTTTCCGTGGCCATTGCCACGCGAGGGTGGGCCTGTCCCTCCACATCAGTTCGTGGCCCCTCCTTAGACTTGCCACATATCCGCCCATGGTTCCATGTGTCAAAATTTCATAGGCTACTGCACAAGTTTTATCTAATAAAAAAAATAGAATTTTGGCCCGGGAGTGAAAACCTGTTGTCCGGCGACACTGTTGTTGAAGCTCCCAGGATCAGTAGCTGTGAGAGAGAGAGAGTTAACCAAAATTAAAAAAAGCACATAATATGTGAAATTCAGATACGGTCAAGTAATAATATACATAAAATTCACCAAAATCATATCTATTTACTTTGAAATTACTAAAAGAGAAGGAAGGAAGCAAACTAATCAGTCAGACATTGAAATTCAGCAAATTACACCACATACAAACAATGCATACGGAGATCAATTTCAAATTTTCAACATTAACCTATAATCACTGAAAATACCTGCAAATTCAAAACCCTAACACATTATTTCACCAAATAAACCCCCGACTAAAACTGCACAGACACCAAACCACGAATACAATGAAAACTCAGATCTAACTGACCTTCGGACTGTTCATTGGTATCGTTGAATTCCTTATTCAACGCTCGATCGAACATATCAGCGAAGCTGCTTTCCTTGGATCTCAATTCACTGACATTAACGGCGCCGTTTTGAAGCTTCGAATCAGTGGCTTCGCGAGAGTGACAGTGAAAGAGTAGAGAGAGAAGACAGACAAGATCGAGAATGAGGAACGTTGAGAGTGTTGACATTGTAGTTTTGGAGAGAGAAAATGTTGAGAGCGAGAGGGAGGGGGAGGGTTAACTAGTCGTCGTCGATGATGGCTTTACGGGAACGGAGGGAAAAGGAGTGGATACTTTAGCTTGGAATAGAAGTAGAGTGTGAAAGTACGAAAAGGTCCCTTGGTTTTCGCTGTTGTGATTTGAGTGAGATGGGAGTGCGTAGGTCCAATGTTAGATGCGATGTCAGAGACTATCTTGCGCGCGCTGGGTCGGGGTGGATGAGAGGACTAGACCACATTGACGAAGAGCACAAAAACGTCAATGTTTCAAAATAATCTCGTCTTAATTTGACTTATAAATAATTTTAATTTTATTCCCAAACAAATCATAGTTGCAAAAATAAATAAACTCAGACTATCTCTAAATAATTTCAAGTCATGTACACCTGTTATCTCTCGGTTATCTTATAAAACTTTTAAAAATGTAAATTTATGAGATTTATCTTTACGATTTTCTTATAAACTTTTAGAAATGTAAATTTTCAAGATTTGATGAAAATATAATTATTATAGGATTTATTATTCAACTATACAATTGAATTCTGATTTTATTTTTAGCTCAAATTTGATTCAAATACTCATAAATTTGCAACGAACCGAATTAAGTAAGAATCTTAAGTCTGCATTGAGTTTGACTAGTCGAAAGTTCGATTTAAACGGATAAAATTGTATTATTCAAATTTGTTTATTAAATTTTATATCTTCAATAAAATATCAAAATTTAATACATTAAATATTTTATGAAATTAATGAACACACCGATACAAATTTAGGAAATAAATTTGTAAGCATTTGAACTAGAACTGTTAATCAAACTGAACTGTTCGAATTTGGCTTTATTTTGGCTGATTAAGGCTTGGTTCGTTTTCTAAACGAGTTTGAACTTGAACAAGTTTTTAGGCACATTTATAAAATAAACTTTACAAGCTCGGTTAAAACTCGACTCGTTTATGTGTAAATACTTGAATTTGGCTAGAATTCGTTTGAATAATTTTTAAAACTCGATTAAGAAATATATTTTTCAAGCTTGAGACGAATTCGTTCGATTAACGGCTTAATTTGAACACGTAACGAAAGCGACTGGTCGCGTGTAATCAGAGTACTACCTGGTCCAGTGGTTTGGTGGTCAAATATAAAATAATAATAAATTCAACATCAGCATTTAGAAAATGATTGTGACACTAGTCAATAATTGTACCGGGAAATTATTGTGAATTATTTGGAATTTAACAGGCAGGTTTTGACTTGTTTAGGAGCATAGCTTTGAGCTTTAATCAAAGGCCACTGCAACAAAGTTTATTAGCCAATGAATAAATGTAATTGTTTTAGCGGTTAGTATAATGGCTCTCATTCTACTGTTAGATTTTTAAGTCGTTAGTTTAAACTTTATTCTTTTTCACCCTTGTAAAAGTGTCTGTCAAAAATAAAATTTGCAAACTCGCGTATTGAAAGGGAGCCCTATAACTTTAGTATGTTGTTTTTTCTTCCTAGTTTAGATTTTATTACTCTGAACTTTAATTTTATTATTTTTGGGAAAAAATATTTAGTTGTAGAAGTAAAATAAAAAGTCTGTTTGACGACCCATTAAGGTTCACCCAAATTTTTTGTCGAGATCACCTGAGCCTGCCCTATTGACCAGCCAAAGCCCAAAATTTCCACCCTGTGGTGGGCTTTTCCCAGAAATAGGCAACTCTGGCCTGGCCCGGCCTGATCTGTTGTTTCTTACATTAGCGGGGTGGACTGTCGTGGGTTTGCACAAAATTACCGGATCGAGATCCTTTTTAATATGCTTTATCTTCGGTTTATTTCTCTTTTTTGGTTATTTTAAACAATAATATTATTTAAACTTAAAAATTTAACATAATTTATTGATTTAATTATGATGATGCCAAACTGATGTGTGTGAATAGAGTGCGTGGGACCAATGGTGAAATTAGGCTGTCAACTTCGTAATGACAATGATGAAATGTTTCTTAGGGGATAGGAGAATTTGCACACTTGAAATATAGTGGTTCACCAGTTCTAGAACTCGACTAATTCACTATCAAATGAAAGTTTTTGCTCATTTTCTTCTCTATTGATTATTTGAATGTAATATAAGACAGTGCACAATCCGATTAGGGTTTTTTTTTTTCTCTCTCTCTCGATGAGGCGTTACATAGTATTTATAATGTTGTCCTCTATTCCGTGGGATTTCAGCCGAGATCTTTTCTCATTATTCATGGGATCCTCCTTGATTTTAGGAGATAATCTTGGTTGGTTGAGAGTTTCACGTATAGGGCCCAATTTTCGCAGTCATCCAACTATTTCCTAGTCGGTTCAGTTACGATCTTCCCAAGAGGAACTTTATTTCTGGTTCTCTGAGTTCCTCGTGTCTTTCTTGACCTAAAGTTCACAACTAGAGTTTGTTTGAGGTATCATCAAATTATGTGATTTTAATAAAATTATTGGATCAATACTAAATTCTAATATTTAGTGGGGGTTCACAGTCAATTCAAAGAATTAAATTAACAAATTATTTTAATAAATTAAATTTCACTAGTATTAATCTATTTAAAATGAGAAAGGGAGTGACCAGTAGATAAGAACCTCCTCTTAGGTATGACCATATGGATCTCCACTATGAAAGATCCCATTTGAACCATAAGAACTGACGTAGAAGGATACTCCATCACTATATCGTCAAAATTAAATAACAAACCATATTATTCTTACTGATCGACCCTGTTTGATAAACTCATGGGAATCCAGGACAACTATACACGAGATATCAACTGACCTGGATTTTTGTTTCTACGTTGACAGATTTTCATCGTTATTAATATATCAGTTATAACTCATTACCGAAGGTACGACGAAATATAAAATTTAAATATTTAAAAAATTGATCTCATTACATTAAATAATAATTTTTATTTCCTTCATTTATTTGATTATATCATTTAAAATTTATTTTAATCTATTATTTTTAAAAAATATTAACAAAAATACGTAATTCGATAAATTTTTTCAATATATGTATACAATCATGTATGGATAATATCTAAAATAAAAATTACGTTAAACTATAAATTAATTAAATATTAAATAATTAAACATGTGATAAAAATAAGTGATATGATGATTTTTAGAGAAAAATACGTATGAGATAAAATTTAAAACACCAAGTTGTTTTATTATACATATGAGAGATACAATTGTATATAATAGGTTACATTTAAATGAATAATCCATAAATTTAATAGGAGAAAAAATATACTGGAGTCGGACCAAAATTAAGAGATACCTTTATACTTACTTTTATTCCAAGTTTAAGCTCCATCGTCTCACCATCCATCATCACTGCCTACCCATCAGGCCACAGCTAGATTCTCGACAAACAGCCACCCTCTCTCCTCAAACCATGGCAGTGAGCAACAACCTGACAGCAATCCTGAACTTCATAGCCCTGATTTGCTCCGTTCCCATAATTGCCGCTGGCATCTGGCTAGCTTCGAAGCCGGACAACGAGTGCATCACCTGGCTCCGGTGGCCGGTCGTCTTCATCGGCATTCTCTCTCTCCTAGTCTCCTTACTCGGGTTTGTCGGCGCGTACTGGAACAAGCAATCACTCCTGGCTCTTTACCTCTGGGTCATGGCCATCCTCATAATCCTCTTGCTCGTCTTCGTCGTCCTCGCCTATGTTTCCACGAGCCCCACCGGCGAGTATGGTGTTCCCGGCAGGGCCTATAGTGAGTACAGGCTAGATGGGTTTTCACCATTGTTGAGAAACCATATCACCAGCTCGGAGAATTGGGGGAAGATAAGGGCTTGTTTGGCGGCGACTCAAGTTTGTCCCAAGCTTAGTCAGGAGTATATTTCTGCTGAGCAGTTCTTTGCTGGTCATATCTCTCCTGTTCAGGCTAGTTCTTTCCTTCCACTACCAATTATTTTTTAGGATTAATTGCATGGAAGATGCTCAAAAGTATGGTATTTATTTTATTTTGGTTTTTAATATTTCAATTATATTATTTTAAATATATTTATGTGCGGTCCATCAAGCAGGTAACATTTAAATTGCTAACGATTTTCTATTTTAAACTTGTTACGTAATAACTAAATATGAGTAAAAAAATAATTTGGATAATTTTTGACTAAATTTTTATTCAAATTTTGGTCAAAAAGTTACCAAAATTACACAGTTTTGATTATGAGCTATTCAAATTTTGGTCAATAGTTACCTATATTAAAAAATCATTAGTAATTTAAATGTCGTCTGTTTAAGGGAATACATGAAAATATATTAAATACTTTAAAGACCAAAATATTGCAATTGAAATATTAGAGACTAAAATTTGATTTTCTTGCATTAAACCGTGATAAGTTTGTTCAGCTAAGGTCAGGATTTGTATCATTATACAATGTTAGATTGGGTGATTACGTTAGTGGGCCCATGAACAATACATAACCTAAAATGATAATCTGGTCTCTCTGATAATACTTGAACTTCGATTCAATTTAATTTCAACTATTTCACGGATGATTACATGAATTTTATTTTTTTGTTTCGTCGGAAGTATTAGAATGACAATATCTAATGGATAAAATAGCTCTATGTGTTCTAGCCTCCTTGTTAGGTGTAATTCTTTTTTGAATCAATAAAATCTCTTGGTACCGTCGAAGTTCAGAAAAAAAAAAAAAAAAATCTATGTTCTAGCCTAATGGTGGGTCATTGGGGGCATTGGTAACCTTATGTTGTCAGCTATAGTAGCAAACCTGTTTCGAAATTTGGAGGGTAAAATTGAGGAAAGTTTGCACCCAACACAATCAATCTGAGTGAAATTGAGATTATACATGTTTCTTATCCCTGATCATAAAAATAATTTTATGCATGTAGCATTTAAATTTTCTCAAGTTTGGATCAAATGAACGAGCATAATCCAACCGCACTCTTATAAACAATAAAACAATCCTAAATCAATGACACACGAAAACTCAATCCTCAACTTCAAAATATTAGGAGTAAAGACTTGAATTTGTTTCATTGGCCGGACCAAGCTTTAGGGGAGGGTATAGAGGAGAAGTAGAAGTGGGGACGGTAGGGAAATTGGTTGAAGATCCTTGGAATATAGACGTCAGGCGCTTTGGTTTCGCTCCTCAAAACTCATTCGACTGAACTAAGGGGATCAACCACAACAAGAAAAGAGAGGCTCGTTTCATGTTAGTCCTTTATCTATTTTTGACCAACTGGTCTAAAGCAACGTTCAGGTCTTTGTGTTCGTGACGCCTAGCTACAAAGGACGAGCAAGTGCCACATTACCTTATGCATTAGCTGCATATTCACTCTAGACGAGTCAAGATGTACTTTAGCGTGTGTGTGAAGTTCAGCCAAGTCCAGCACACAATTCTCGTCATACGGTTGTGTTTGTTAGTCAACTGGCATGCGTTTCAGTCCAGTACTGGTAATTCTTTTGCCTTTTTTGTTACATTCTTGATATACTTTTCTTGTGTTTACAGTCAGGATGTTGTAAGCCTCCAACTATTTGTGGATACCAATATGTGAACCCTATTATGTGGATCAATCCAGTGAACCCAGTTGGTGATGCAGACTGTTCTATCTGGAACAATAATCCAACCCAATTGTGCTATAATTGTGATTCTTGCAAGGCTGGTCTACTAGGGAACCTGAGAATGGAATGGAGGAAAGCTAATGTGATTCTGATAGTAGTTGTGGTGGTCCTCTTATGTGTTTATCTTATTGCATGCAGTGCATTCAGAAATGCACAACCTCAAGAACTCTTTCAACGAGACAAGTAAGGTTGGGTTCAATCTAATTCTCAAAAGACACCCCGCTTTTCCTGATGACCAAGAATCATCTCAATCACGTTTGTAACCAAAAAACCATGTGGCTTTTGAAGTGGTGGTTGTCAAGTGAACTCGGGTCACGAATAATCATTCAATTTTGCATAAGTGATGGTTCTGATGCGTGTTACTTTATCTCCTATAGAGCAAGTCTCTTTAAATCCACTGAATATATTCCACTGTACCATTCCATCAAGATTGATGGGGGATTGTTTTGAGTTGGCTAATGCATATTCTTTGCTGATTACAATGAAAAGAACAAGAATATAATCCAATAATTAGCTTTTCACTTTATTTCAGGTTCTTTAAAGCATTTATTCGGTGTCCATCGTAGCTTCTTCAATATTTAACATCTCTGCAGGATGTCTCTCCACACAGAACATCCAGCCCGTTAACCGGTCGGCAATCCAATCCGACGACCCTGTCCACGACCTGCCTATCGGGTTGACCTTAATGGGTTTATCTTTTGAATTTTTTTTGTTTCTTCCAAATTCGACATTTTTTATAATATTTTTCAATTTCAGTTGAATAAGGACATAACCCGTGGATCTGCCTTCTTGGGCCGGACCCACCTCCAGGCAAAAAGAAGGCTCACAGACTTACCTGTCCTGCTGACCGTAAGGGTGTAATTTAGTGGGACGAAAAAAATCTTCGATCCGAATTGAATTCGAGCAGGACTTAGACTGAGACTTTGGTTGCACCCGAACCGAATTAATAAGCACAGGTATACACAAAAACTTCTATAGTGTTTTTTGGTGTTTCACAAAGGTGTGCATTTAGGTACATAATTGACTAAACCCACGAAGAATACTTTATTTCAAAAGTAGAAAAATGATGTGAACACATGATTACAAAGGCAGTTCGTATTTGAAATAGAGCATCCATTGCAAAATTTGAATGACCCAACTCCAGAAACAGCCATACATAATAAAGATTTGCCACCAATTTAGAGATGTACCGAGCATAATCCTCTTTTTAGACAGTAGCAAGCTTTCTTGAGTACACAATGTACATTGGATCTGAACGTCCAGGATTCGGAGATATATCTACAGCCTGTGGAAAATATTGCAAATATACTTAGTAGGATAAATGGATTGTCCTCAATTTGAGAACTTAACATATGTATCATGTAGTCATTCGCAGTGCTGAAAATGGTGCTAGTTTTATTCATCGTGAACCATGAGATATATTCAAGTAAATGTTGACAGAAACATCTTGCAGATGTTCAGTCTATTGCAAAGATCGAAAAAGAAAATAGAAATGTCCCTCAGACCAGAAAAAAGAGAGGATAAAGTAGTTTTTGAAGTGGGAATCAATGACAAGATCTGCTTTGATGGGGGACGAAACTCCAGCAATAGTATGACCACACTACTAGAGAGCATATAATTATTGGGCTGCATTGTCACACAACAAGAACTGCTACCCCAAAATAATAACTTCCATCCATGATAAAGTTCGTACAGACAAATGGATCACAACAAGACAGCATAATAAAAACAGTTTTACAACAATCTTATGTAAATTATTGATATTCCTATAGAAAATGTTATTGTGACTACAGGTTCAACCATTGGTGCAAAGACAACATCCGTTTTTTTTTTTGAGTCTCAGACAATGTATGCTTGTCTATGCGCCAAATTACTGCTGCAGCCTCAATATGAATGAATAAGCAAGCTTCTAATTTGCCAGTCCAAAACTAGAAGTTTGATGATAATTACCTGAGGGGGTTCAAAACCCCCAGCATAGTGGAAGTATGATCCAACAATCATGACATGATCAGCATCACCTGTTGATGTCCATATTGAGATTGCCTTTGTCCAGAAGCATCGGTTGGAGAAGCTTGTTAATGATCAGAATTCACAAAATTATAGGTGGTTAATAAAATAAATGAAAGAAAACATAAAAAAGCAATAACCTGGTTATGTTTACTTGTAGATGACAGTGCTACCTAAATTTCATGACCAAGATTCCCAGGGTAGTCAAACTTTTAACAGGCCGTAGACATTTTAAATATCTTTGTAAGTGATGTTTTAACCACTTATTCAAAAGGATATTATTTATACCTCATGATAGCTAGGCCGCCTGGCTTAAGAACGCGACCCATCTCTTTGAAGACATCAATAGGTTTTGTCAGATAGTCGACACTAACCTGCAAGATATAAGGATGTCATATATCAGAGCATTTAAAAAAATCATGTCCTTAACAGCACATTGAGGAGTTCTTTGGATATATTTCAATTTTGAAGAATTTAAGATAATATGGCGGTGAATCTTTCTCTAAATAGTTGCAACTGAGGTCATCATCATACTGTCATTGTCAAAAAGAGCAAAAGATGGAGAAAGAAGCTCCAAAAACCTAAATGATTGATGATGTTTATAATAATGAACAGCAGTGTTGTTGGTTACGTATAGTGTTTCAAACTGATCTGGTTCACAAACATCAGAAAATACAAAAATGCAGCCAGCTTCTAGAATTCTTGACTGCAATTTGTATTCTTTTGGTTCTACAAGAAAAAAATAAAATTATTGGACAAAATTATTATTGTAGTCCATAACTTTGAATATACCATCTTGAGCAGTCTGAATCAAAGTTCATTAATAGTTGCATTGAGCCCTCGAGATCTTTACCATCACTTGAGATAGACGTGACTGAAAAATGGATACAAACTAAGTGTAGAGCCCCGTATATATGATCAATGAAAGTTACAATAAGGATAAAAATGTAAAAAGAGAAAATCTAATAAGCCCTAATAAACTAGGCCGCTGCTATATCTCCAACACTCCCCCTCAAGTTAGGCGCAAAAATGTCAACTAAGACAAGTTTGACAACTGAGTCCCGAAGAATGGATAGAGTGACAGGTTTGGTAAAAACATTTGCAACCTGATCACTAGTCCTACAAACGATGGAGTGACAATACCACTGCTAACTTTCTCCTAAAGAAAATGAACATCGATCTCTATATACTTCGTTCTCTCGTGTAATACAGAGTCAGAGGCAAGCTGAATAGCAGATCGATTATCACAATATAATGTAGATGAATAAATCATTGAAAATCCCAACTCGTCAAGAATCGATCGTAACCAGATAATCTCACATGTGTCAAGTGCCAGTGCCCGATACTCTGCCTCTGCTAACGAGCGAGAGACAACTGACTGCTTCTTGCTCTTCCAAGACACAAGATGAGTCCCTCGAAAAGCACAGAAGCCTGTAGTAGATCGACCGTCAAATGTTCCCATATAATCTGAATCTGAATAACAGGCCAAAGAACCAGTCTGAGATCCTGATGCATAGAACAACCCAAGTCTAGGACAAGACTTGAGGTACCGAAGAATAAGATAAACTGCATCAAGATGAGGCTGACATAGTCTGTGCATGAACTAACTAACTCGGCTGACAGCGAATGAAATGTCTGGCCTAGTGTTGGCTAGGTAGATAAGTCTACCTACCAACTTCTAATAGACAGTCGGATCTCTCAACTCCTCATCTTCAACAGTAAGCTTCAGGTTTGGAATCATGGGTGATGATGCCGGTTTGCACCCCAGCATCCCAGTGTCTGAAAGAAGATCCAGAACATACTTTCTCTAAGAAAGAATAATACCTCTGCTGCTACGGGCAACCTCAATCCCAAAAAAGTATCGCAAAAATCCAAGATCCTTCACATCGAAGGCCTTCCCAAGGTCTACCTTGACTTGCGTAGTCCTAGAAACATCATCTCCAATAATAATAATATCATCAACATATACCAAAAGGATGACACACTGTTCAGAAGAATTCCATCGAATGAAGCATATAATCAGAATGACATCTGGTGAACCCTAAATGTACAACTACATCACTAAAGCAAGAGAACCAGGCTCGTGGTGACTGTTTCAGTCCATAAAGAGACTTACGCAGTCGACATACCTTTCTAGCATACTCCCCCTCACCACGAAAGTCTGGTGGTGCATCCATATAAATAATCTCGTCCAGATCACCGTGAAGAAATGCATTCTTCATATCCAACTGATGAAGAGGCCAAGAGTACTCCGCAGCCAGAGAAATAATCAGTCGAACAGTAGTCAATTTTGCCACAGGGGCAAAGGTAGCACCAAAATCACGACCTGGCAACTGAGTAAAGCCTTTCGCCACAAGCCTAGCCTTGTGACGATCAATAGTACCATCCGCAAGAAATTTCAAGGTGTAAACCCAGCGACAGCCAACAAGCTTCACCCCTGAAGGTAAAGAGACAAGATCCCACGTATGATCACGCTGAAGAGCGTCTATCTCTGTCTACATGGCAAGAACCTACTGGGGCTCCAGCATAGCCTCTGAAACAGAGTGAGGAATCGGCGTATCTGATAAAGCCATACTATAAGCCCGAAATGTAGGAGACAGATCACCATAAAAAACATAAGCAGAGATCGGGTATAAAATCCTGACAGTCCAACCATAACGAACAACTGGACGGTGATCACGCTGTGGATAACGACGCTCTAAATTATCATCCTCCACTGACAATGTCTCATCAGGTAAAACAACTGGCTCAGTACCTGCAATCTCATTACTATTAACAACAGGTGCATCAATATGCTCAACGAACTGAGAAGTATTACCTACATCGCCTGAGGTAGAGGGGACATCAGCAGGGGGATGAGAACGAGAGAGACGAATATAAACCTGCAAAGGAAGAGAGATTGGTGACTCTGTACCAGAGATGGGTGGCTCTGGAGGAGGAGAGACTGATGACTCTGTAGTGATAATGACCAATGACTCTGGCTCCGGGGATAATGGAAAATCAAAGGAAGTATCATTAACTGGAGGGGCAGACATAAGACTGGAAGAAAAATAAGGAATATACTCAAGGTTAGACTGTGATACATACGGCGCCTAACAGGATTATAACACCGATACCCCTTAGACTAATTACAATAGCCCACAAAGACACAACGGATTGCTTTATCATCAAGCTTATAACGAGTAGGAGACCGATCCTGAACGAAACATGTGCATCCAAAAACACGAGGGGGGACCAGAAAAAGTGTTCGCTCAGGAAATAAAACCTGTAAGAGAGCCTTATGCTGAAGAACACGACTCGACGTACGATTGCACAGAAAGGTAGAAGTCAAAACAACAAAATGCCAATAAGATTTTGGCACCCCCATGCCTCTAAGCATACAACGTACCATCCCTATCAGACTCCTATTTTTCCTTTCAGCAACGCCATTTTGCTCAGGAGTATATGAACAAGTGAGTTGTTGAAGGATACCCTGAGAAGAAAGGTGAGACACTAAGGCATCAGACACATATTCTTTGACATTATCCGAACGAAGAACACAAACAATGACATCAAATTGTGTCTTAATCATCTGTAAAAACTGAGTAATTATAGGGAGTACATCGAACTTTCTATGCAAAAGGTAGACCCAAGTACAACGGGTATGGTCATCTATAAATGTCACATAATATCGGGCACCTAACAGAGTCGTAACAAGAGAGAGTCCCCAAATATCACAGTGTATTAGGTCAAATGGCTTAGGTGACTGGTGCATGCGAGGAATATAACTGGTCCTAACATGTTTTGATAGAGAACATATAACACAGTCAAGTTTACCACCAACACAAGTATTGCTCAAAGCAGGAAACAACATACATATATATTTAAAATTTGTATGTCCAAAACGATCATGCCACAACTGAACAGTTTGTGACGAAAAATCATAACGACAATTATTAAGTAAAATACTGGCATGCAAGCTAGGAATAGATAAAGACAAAACAGGTGCAGGTGATGTAGGTGGAAGAACTGATGAAACTGGAGGTGGATTGCCTAGATAATACAATCCATCTCTCTCATATCCCCTGATAATAATTCTCCTGATACTCAGGTCCTGGAAATAACACAAATCAGATAAGAACACAACCGCACAGTGAAAATCTCTGACTAACTGATGTTCAGATAATAGATTCATGGCCAGCTTTGGCGCATGAAAAACCAAACGTAATGTAAAGCCACCTGGGAGGCAGACTGTACCCCTACTAACAATAGGGGCATGTGTCCTATCTGCTAACTGAACTTGTGTATGTAACTGCTCGTCAAAAGTGGTGAAGTGATAGGTCTCACCTGTCATGTGACCATTCGCACCCGAGTCCAGCATCCAAAGGGGAGACGGACTGGCACAACCATGAAAGACACGAGGTATACCTGTAGTAGTGGTTGTAGCAGTAGTCGGACTCTGAGAAGTCAAAACGGACATAAGTATATCCAATCGAGAAGTGATAGCATCCATATCACTCTGCCAAGGAGGAGCAGTAGTAGGAGTAACGGAAGTAGGTGGTGGTATCTCAGCAATGGCAACAGTACGGTCGCGAGGAGGCGACTTAAGCTCTGGATAGAGCTTCCAGCAAGTAGCCTTGAGATGTCCTGGTCGACCATAATAATCACACTGACGAGAATTCCCCTGTCTGCACTGATCTGGGACACCCTGACAGCGCTGATCCGAACGTTGCCCACCCCTAATTGAGGATCCTGAACGAGACCCTACAGCAGCCACAAGGGTCATACGATCAGCCGGAGGAGTCAAGGCCACAACTGGAAGTAATGCAATACGGACGCGGTGCTCATGCTGCTCAATCATCGCATACACCTCATAAAGACAAGCAAGCGTCAACATTGACAAGATCTGGGAACGAGGTCCCTTAAACTCATCACAAAATCCCATAAGGAACTTGTGAATCCTATCATCCTACTCTCGAGTATGCAAGAATACTGCTCTCTCGGGCTCTATCCTCGGAATAGCAGCAAGAAGACAGAGAGTCTCATACTTAAGCCAGCACTGGGTCAAATAACCATAATAATCCTGAACGGTCAGATCTCCGTGCCGAGCATATGAGAGCTCCTGAGAAAGCTCATAAATACGTACTCCCCGTCTTGACTGAGAATACATCTCTGATAATGCGCTCCATAGTTTCAGAACAGAGCTATGAAACTGGTGAATCCTGCAAACAGATAGCTCCATCGAGCCAAATAACCATCCAAGAATGGCGCAGTTCTCACAGAACCACGCAGAATATCTAGGGTCGGCATCAGCTGGCTTTGGGAGAGAGCCCGTTAGCCAACTAAGCTTTCCTACACGGCCTAAGAAAAGCTGGAATGAGCGAGACCACTCAGCGAAGTTACGGCCATTCAACAACTGTGCCGTAACTTTCTGAGAGATCATGTCCGACAGTGCTGGTAATGCAACCATGCCAGTAGGGACTGTATAATGGTCAAACATAACAGTGGAAGTTCCAATAGAGGTCTCAACGGCAGAGGTGTCAACAGTAGAGATCTCAAATCCCTCAGTAGTAGTCATATCAACAACAATACTAGGGCACCCATGACAGAAAAATAACTCTAAGATAAATAGAGGGATAAAATAAGGGAGAACAGTATACCTCCAGTCGAACAGTAGCGACAAATAAAGAAGGTCCACAAAGCTTCCAAATAATCAGGTCACGGTGCCCAGAAATCCACTAAATATAAATAAAAGATCTACTGCATCAAGAACATATCAATGTAGAAGAGA